AGTTACCTTCTGTTGATGTCTCTCAAATTGTGTTTCTTGTGTTCATTGCTCTTCATTGGACGACCCCAACCACTGACATGTCAACTAAGACATGCAGCATTTGGCATCAGCTTTGTGCTGTGTGTCTCATGTATTCTTGTGAAAACAATGGTCGTCCTTGCTGTCTTCAAGGCCTCCAAACCAGGAGCTGAGGCCAGTTTAAAGTGGTTTGGTGCCGTTCAGCAAAGAGGAACAGTTCTTGTTCTGACATGTTTTCAAGCTGTAATCTGCACTGTCTGGCTTGTCTTGGCTTCACCAGCACCACATAAAAACACAGAGTATTACAGTGACAAGATAGTGTATGAATGTGCCATTGGCTCCACTGTTGGTTTTGGAATCTTGCTTGGTTACATTAGTTTACTAGCAGTCCTCAGTTTTTTATTAGCTTTTTTGGCAAGAAATCTTCCAGACAGTTTTAATGAAGCTAAACTCATTACTTTCAGCATGCTAATTTTCTGTGCAGTGTGGGTGGCCTTTGTTCCTGCCTATATCAGCTCACCAGGCAAATATGCAGATGCAGTAGAGGTGTTTGCTATCTTGGCATCCAGTTTTGGCCTATTGGTGGCACTGTTTGGACCCAAATGTTATATTATCCTATTGAGGCCTGAGAGAAACACAAAGAAAGCCATAATGGGTCAAAGATGATAATCAGTTGTAACATACTGCACAATACTGAGATTATATTATTAGGAGTTCATAACAATTTGACTTTTGGTCAATGATTGTCATTCAATTTATGATGTCGCTGACCTATGGCGTTTGTGTTTATGTTACTGTCTCCCATACATTTATTTATAACATTTTTTCTGTCATTCCAGAATACATAATTAAAACTCACCAACTGTTTTGCATGGTAACTACTTGGTGAACAGAGTGGACGAATGGGTCGTCATGCGGCACATGCAGAAGACAGCTTTATTAACATTTGCCGTTTATAAGGCATAGATTAAATTGTGCTACTTTTACTTTCTTTTGTTTTTGTTGTTTTTTTGCCCTTTATTATAGCTCATAAGTAAAAGTCAGACTCTGTGTTAGCGAAGGTACTTATGTAGTTTGCTCTTGTATCAAATGCACATTATAAAATGGTAAAAAGGTAGATAGAAAAAAATAGAATACTTTTTTTTTAAATAAGCCTGACGCTGATCCTAGAGGGACACCTCTAAATACAATTCTAAATACTAATAATGTGGTGCTGTTCTAACCTTGAAATAAAACCTGTTTTATTTCATTGTTGTCTCAAAATAGATGTCACAGTTGCTAACGTATGATACTTGTTGGTACGGAATTTATCAAACTTTTCAACCCCATAGTAATGTGTCATCGGCAAATGAGCAAGCTCTTAAAACATATGCATTCAGTGTCTATCTTCATGTCCAAAAATGTATGTTAGCAGGTCTTTTCCAGAAGGAGCTATACTGAAAACAAATTGTTCATGCCTCACAGACAGCTTTCAATCCTGAGTTAAGAGGAAGAGCACGTCTAACTGCCCTAAAGTGCAAACGGTGTACACTTGGGTTGGGCTCTGGTTGTTAGGTAAAAGAAAAGAAGAAAAGGATCAGCACAAATCTAAATAGACCAGCTAATGGCGAATAACAAGATCTAAATAAGAGATCATAAAGATCAACAAATAATAAACTTAAACTAAACTTTTTTAAACTTATCTTTATTTGTCATTGTGACACAGCACAGCACAGCACACCATGCACAACGAAATTTAACCTCTGCATTTAACCCATCACCAAGTGAACAGTGGGCAGCCGTGGTCAGCGCCCGGGGAGCAGTGCTTGAGGACGATGCCATGCTCAGTGCATCTCAGTGGCAACCTGGCAGTTGGTGGATTCGAACCTGGGGCCTTCCGGACCGAAGTCCGCCTCCTTCACCACTGTAATAACAATACAAAATAATGAATTCAAAGTAATGGTCACACAAATAGGAACAAATAATAAAAAAAAATAAAGAAATCATTAAAATAATCACAAAATAACAGTCATAAGGAGTTAGAAAAATCCAGACAATAAAACTGAGTCTAAAGAAATGATTTAAAAGAACGTAGTGAGCTAGCCTGCCTAAGATCCCACAGCTGAGAAGCTCGGGCTGCGAAGGCTCGGTAACATTTAGTGACTGGGTGCGTCTTAGGTATCATTAGAAGGGCCTTGCTAGAAGATCTAAGGCTTCATCAGACTCAAAGGGTGAAAGCAAAATCATGGATTTGGCCTGATTATTAGTGCTTTAAACATGGGACGTGATGTAAACTGTCCATTGTGCCAACACAGTAGACTGGTTTTCCATGAGATTTATATTAAGAGTGACGTGGGAGTTATTTTTTTACAGTCATTGGAAGGCCATGAATTTTGGGACACATCAGTAGTGTACCTTTGAGTCACTGGGTGTTCTGGCCTTTCAACACAAGACACCCTCATTGAAGGCAGCCAGCTACAGGGCGATCTAGCCTGAGCTTGTGTCCTAAACCCAATTATGTCTGTTGCTTGGTGTTTAAAGTTGACAGCTCATGTGATTATGCAAAACAGGGGCTTCCTTTCCCCTGAATGACACCTAATCCGGCCGCATAACCCATTTATTTACCTGTGGTCTCAAATGGGAGGTGGAGTGGGTGCGGATATGTGACTGGGTCATGGTGTTTTCTGGGCCTAGTAGGGATCCTTCCGCTTGATCCATCCACTGGCTGCTTCTTTCAGCTGCTTCGGAGATTAATTTAATTGACTGTCCCAGAGCCTGTCAATGAGTACCCAGGTCTTTTAGGAGCCTGATGGTGGAAGAAGTCACAAAACATCTGCATCCCATGTCGACTGGATAAACTTTCGTCTTCTGTCCTCACTGTTGTGCATCTGCTGCCAGTTCTGTGTAGCGCAGTTTCTTGTGCTTCTAGGCCTCTTCGGCTGCATTCTCACACAGGACTGTGAGCTCTGTAATGTTGACTGACTTTATTGAGGAGGACTAGAGTACTAAGTCTGGTCTAAGGGTGATGGGCTGCAATCTCCGGTGGGAAGCTATATCAACTAGCATCTTCCAATCCCGCGCCATGGCTAGGTGGCCAGCAGCATCTGGTATGTTATTGGGATACTTGGGCTTTTTCTGTCCTTCTCGGATGAATGCTGGTGCGTTAAAGGTTGGTTGCTCTCAGGGGCAAGGGATTT